GTCTGGAGGGAGACCGGGGAGTTTCGGGGGGTGGGGAGGTGGGTGGGTGGCTTGGGTTTGCAAGCCGACAGGCTGAGTTTGCAATACGGTAACATTGAGCGAGGGGGGAGTTTTGCTGAAACAGGCCTTTCCGATATTGAAGAATATCAGTGGCTGGGGGGAGGAGGAGGAGGGAAAAGCCTGATGAAGCTACTGTGGGGTGCACATTCTCTGCAGGAGCATCACTTGGGGGTGGGTGGCAAGTGATGATCTTCTGGGTTGACTAACATGCCCCCCACCCTCCATTCCGTCCCGCTCACAGTCTCAAGAAGAACACACACACCTACTTCTACGCCAGTTTTGTGGCTTACATCTTCGGCCTGGGCCTCACGATCTTCATCATGCACGTCTTCAAACACGCCCAGGTGAGCCACTGCCTCGGCAAGCGGCCCAAGGCCATGTGGGCTTTATGATTGGCGGGGTGGTGGTGGTTCTGGACTGCAGGCCGTGGGACGCGGCTAATGCTGGGGATGGGCATTAAGGAGGAAAGGACGACCGCCCGAGGGTGTGATCCCATTTTTGGATTCCAAGTGCTGATCTTGACTCCCGTCTCTGAAGTGTACAGCACGCAGCCCCAAAGCGACCCTGCGACATGTTGAGCAAAATCGCAAGCACCGGAACAACAAGCCAAATACCCCACTAAAACTCCCTTTTGACCAAAGGATTCGGATGCCTGCTTGAAAAGGAAGGTTTTTCTGTCCCAGCAGAAGGACAGTCTTGCCTCAGTGGGAAATGGGGTACGTCATTTAGAAGCTGCCACCGGAAAGGCCCCTCTCGTGTGTCCTTGGCAAACGTGCCTTACAAGTTGGGTAGATTCTGTGGGAAGAGACGGTCTTCCCAACAGCCCGGACCCAAGAGGTCTGAGATTCTGTAGGTGACGACTTCACGGTGAACCCAGAAAGGGGCAGGACCCCTGCGTAGCTGTTGTAACGAGAGTGACATGATCCGTACGACTGGGCCCGATCAGTAGTCTCCTGGCATCCGTTTGAGCCAGTTTTAAGTTTCTGACGGCCCGACATTTCAGCAGACTTGGCATCAGGAGCCATGGAGGCTACTACTCACCTGGAAGTCCAGAGTCCTGGCTGTGGAGGCAGAGGCGGATGGGACCTGGAGTTCCACAGCAGCCGGGTGCCCCGGCTGCATGGCCGTGTTACTCCTCGGCCCCCGTTCTGCTCCGTGCCCTCGCTTCTCTTGGCCCTGCCTCGGTCCCTTAGCCCTTCTCCGTAATGCCTTGTTTCCCCTCGTTCTTCCACAGCCTGCTCTGCTGTACCTGGTCCCCGCCTGCATCGGCTTCCCTCTCCTGGTCGCGCTGGTGAAGGGAGAAGTGGCGGAGATGTTCAGGTGAGAGCTCAGCGTTGGCTCTGTGGTCCCGTTGCTGGCCTGTGTGGCTGGTGGGGGAGCTGCCTGGACGGGACCAGAAAGGAGGACGGCTGCGGATGCTGCTGCCCAGGGCCGGCTGAGATCGTTCCGTTCACCCATCAGGACACGAATGGGGAGCCCTTCCTCTCCCCCCCCCCTTTAGCTGAAGAGCCTGGTGGAGTTTCAGAGATGCGTGGGGGGAGGGCAGGTGCTGCTTGTGGGCAGGGCTGGATGCAAAAGGCCAGAAAGCTCTAGCATGGAGTTCTTGGGGGGGGCAGTAATTAAGGCTCGGGGAAGGCCTGTCCACCTTCTAGGAAGTTGGTGACAACTCACTAAAGTGTTGTTGTCAGGAAGAGGGGTCTCTTCTGCCACCAGAGAAGCTGACATTCCCCTTGCCTCTGCTTCAGAGAGGGAGGGAGGCCTTAATGGGGAGCCCTTCCTCTCCCCCCCCCTTTAGCTGAAGAGCCCGGTGGAGTTTCAGAGATGCGTGGGGGGGGCAGGTGCTGCTTGTGGGCAGGGCTGGATGCAAAAGGCCAGAAAGCTCTAGCATGGAGTTCTTGGGGGGGGCAGTAATTAAGGCTCGGGGAAGGCCTGTCCACCTTCTAGGAAGTTGGTGACAACTCACTAAAGTGTTGTTGTCAGGAAGAGGGGTCTCTTCTGCCACCAGAGAAGCTGACATTCCCCTTGCCTCTGCTTCAGAGAGGGAGGGAGGCCTCCTGGAAGAGGCTGGACCCATTTTGCTGATGGTGTGGGGAGAAGCAGGCGGAGATGAGCCGTGCCTTCTCCTCTGGGTTTCTCCCTGGCGTCTGGATCGTGAGACGAAGCGGGTGTTCCATGGCACATGTTGGCGACCTCTGCTGACCCCCTGTGGGCCGTGGGCCGGCTGGATTTGCAGCAAAGTGGCAGCCCCTGGTGGTGGTGGAGAGAAGGTGGGGGGGTCTCTTAAAGCAGGAGGAGCACTTGGGGAGGGGGGACATGAGCTGGCTGGGGTTAAAACCCTGATCCTCAGAGAGTGGTGGATGGTTGAATAGGGAGCAGGGCTCCAATCTGGCCAAAGGAGTTGCGAAGGAGGAGGAGGAGGGGTACCTGGCCCTCCTGGCAAGGAGCCAGGCCCTGGGTCCATCTGAGCTGAGCCTTGCTAGCCGTAACTGGCATCAATGGCTATCTAGGGTTGTTGCCAGAATGCCTTCCTAGCCTAGCTTGGAGATCCTGGGTGGTCTCTCTCATCCCAGGACTTAACTCGCAAAACCAGCTGCGATGTGGCGTGTTCAGGTGGTTGGTGAATGGATGACAATGTTAGCGAGTTGCTGGATTAATGGGGCGGCGGTGGCTTTTTTGAGATTTAACCCTTGCCTTTTTGAAAAAGTGCATTGAGGCAATAGAGGAGGGCCTCTGAACATGGGCAGAAGCCTTGCCAGCCCCCCACAGCTTATTTCCACATATCTTGCTCTAGAATGAAATTATTGCAGGCTGGGCAGGGGTGGTATAATGACCGCCAGGCTTATTCTGAGCACCACACCTCTCAGATGGTTAGCCATCGGTGAGGATGGCCTGCGCCCTGTCTGTGCCATGGGCTTGTGGGCCCGTCCCCCCCCAACCTCCCCAACCCCTTGATTCCCAAAGCTGCTGGATGAGTCTCTGTGCAAACGGCAGCCGATCTTCGCAGCTCTGCCTGTTTTTTCTCGGCTTTTGCATTCAGGCACTAGAACCGAAGAGGGTGGGTGGCCTGTAGCACATCCTTCTCTGGATTGGGACCCACCCACCCCATATCTGTTTCGAGGGAGCCACCCACTGCCTTCTCCCCCCCCAC